TTTTTTGTGGTAGAAGATTTGTACATATTCTCTGCGTTCTTGGCAATAATGAAGGAATACATGTATGCAGGGAGTTGATAATGATGTTGGGTTTAACAAATTGCCAGATGACATAATAATTGCCATCCTGTCCCGTCTCAGTCCCAAGGAAGCCGCCAGGTCTAGTGTCCTCTCTCGTAGATGGAGATACTTGTGGTTTTGCTCGTCCGGTATCCTTGACTTTGATAACCGCAAAATGTTCACCTCCCATGACCGCCAAATGTTCAAGTTCGAGGACGACTTCTACCAAGACGAATTACATGCTTGGGAAATATGTGACATACAAAAAAAATTTGTTGCTAGAAAACAATTTCTGTTCAGAAAATTCGTTGCCTGGGTCAACCGTGTCCTGAAGATGCATCAAAGCCCGACTCTCCAAGGCCTAATCATACACTTTAGTACATCGCGTGACAAATCCCCTTTTGGCCGCCGCCCGGGCTACATCGACAGCTGGATATATTCCGCCATGAGGAAGAAAATAAAGATGCTGGAATTGAATTTCCCGGGAAACCACTATGAATTCCCGAACCTTGACCTACTGTTATTATACTCGCCAGACGCTGGAAAGTTTGGTTTTGGATCCCTAATGTCCCTTAGCTTGGAGGGCGTTGATGTCGAGGACACGGTGGTTAGGCATTTTCTAGCCTCATGTCCTTACCTCGAACACCTTTGCATAAGGAAATCCAATGCCACCAAGAGACTCCGATTTGTGGATCCTTTGCCGAGTTTAAATGTTTTGGAGATTTCTGATTGTTATTTTATCAGGAAACTAGAAGTTTCTGCCACAAGTATTGTCTCGTGTACGTACAATGGATCCGATGCCATTTTTCCATTCAAGAAAACACTGAATCTGTCCGAGCTGACTCTTGGTCGTAAATTTGCCCAGTTCTTTATTTATGAGCCTTCCAAGCACATGAGTTATTCGGCCCAGCTGGAGAAACTAACATTGAATATTCACAAAACATGGGTTTGATTGTCTTCTTCCCCTTATCTTGTTGCTCGCTTGTATGAATTGGAAAACTAGTCTTGCCAATTATGAAATGTGCTTTTTTTTTTGCTTCAGTTCCATTTCACTCCAGAATTCGGACTTCCTCCTCCTGATTTGCCAAAGCTATGCTCTCTCAAGCATCTGGAGTTGAATGTTACGTCCACCATTAAGAGCATATACTTCTTCATCTCATTGATTAAGGCGGCTCCTTTATTGACCGAATTTAGGATGAAGGTGAGTGCAATCTTCACAACTTGATGATTCGCATGTTCTTTGTTTTGGTTGAGGTTCTTTTGCTGTTGCTTCAGCTAGTACTTGTCCCCCATTTGGATTTGAACTTTACTCCTTTAAACTCAGACGTTATAATTACAAAAACTAACTGGAGACTTAGTCTGATTACAAAATAGTAAAGCCAAAGAAAATTATCCTAACATTTCTTACAAGTACAAATAACCGGTATTCATATTCCCTAACAAGCACCCCCTCTAGTGTACATTCTTCATGTGAAACAAGTAGAATGACATCTTTCCGCACTTCTTTCTCTTCTAGCGATTCACTTATGATTGACTTGCAAACCTATTTTGTTGCCGCAGATTACCTATGTCAGAAAAAGCAAGTCGTACCTGGTAATTAATTTTCACGGTTTTATTCTTTTAGTAATGTTGCATGTATATCATTCCTTTTGCCTTTTCTTCTCATTTGACAAGTTGGCTCTTCATTCATGACAGAGTGGTGAATTTCCTTCCAGAATTTTACCGCTATAGATGTCGTCACAAAAACCTAAAGATGGTGAGAATAAGTGGGTTTGTTGGGTGTTCGTATGACATCGTGTTTGTATCTCAGTTACTTAAACTTGCTCAAAATCTGGAAACCGTAACAATTGACACAGAGAGCGAATACTATAGAGAAGGTAAATGTGCTGCCAACAACTCGCTGAAGGAAAAGTGTGTATGTGTTTTGTTAAAGAGGCGTAAAAAACGGACCCAGGCACAAGCAATAAAGCGTGCCCAACGTTTGAAGTCCCGCTATTCTGGAAAAGCGGTATTTACGGTGACGTGATAATGTGCAAATTGTTGAGCAATTTTGCTGTGAACGTCAGATCGGTCTTTATTTAAGTTAATTTTTAATGTTTCGTAGAGATATTTCATGGTGAACATCAGATAGGTATTTATTTAAGTTACTTTTTAATGTTTCACATAGAGATACTTCATGGTTGAATTTGGTATTCTGTTATATATGCTTATATGTCAGAAGAACATTGAAGCTCTCTCGCCAAAAGCTACAGTCTATACAAATGTAATAGCAACGCACCATCTTTCATAAAATTATCACCAAATACCAATATGGTTATAATAATAACGGAAAAAGAAGAGATAAAAAGCAGTCTCAGATAAAAAAAATAAATAAAAATAAAATTGTCGATCCTCACTTACGGGCACCTTATCATTCAAATTAAAACAGCCCTAAACTAGAACAAAACACCAATCAACCACACAACAAAAATCGACCATCATTCAGCCTTGCGTGTTCACAGCCTCCCACAGCAAGTTCTTAGGCACAGGCGACGAGAAGTCCATGGCCTCGAGCGCGGCCGACCTCAGCGTCCATTTGTTTGCCTCGTAAAACGACAAACTATTGTACGGCAAGATATGCTTCTTGCAGAGCTCCTGCACAACCAGTCGTTCCCCTTGGGTGCCCCCACGTACACATCCGCCGCGAAATGGTTCACACAGAACTGCACGTGCTGGATCGAACAGACGGCGAAGCTCACGAGCACGAACAGGACACGCTCGGTCCAGTTGGGCAGGCACGAGACGAGCAGCGGGAACCACATCCAGTATGCTTATCTTCCCTCTAATCGAGTTCACTTTTGAAATCCAACACCGATAACCTCTTTCTTCGCTAGTAGAAAAATATCGGTTTTGATATAGGAATATTAATTAGAAGATATTAATTGGAAGATAATTTTTTTTTTCTTTATTATTATTTAAGAACTCTTTCTTAAATATTTATCTTGAAGAACAATTCTTCTTTTTCCTCTCTTTTTCAACTCTTGAAAAATTTCAAGACTTAGCATTATGTGCAAACATTTTAGCATAAAATAATCAACATTTGGTAATTATTTATTTTAAATAGAATCAGATTTTATTTAAATAATCATACCAAATATTGACTTTTAATTAATTATGTGAAGTGGTTCATAACCACCATCAACCACAATTATTTTGTCTTTTCATTATTTTAATCTTTAATCATATTAAAGATAAAATAATAATTCTTGAAAACATTTTTCAAAACTTTATTAAAATAATCTTTTCTCCCAATTATAATATTATCCTCTTTATAATAATCATATTATTATTTTGGATTTGAATTTTAAAATCATATTTTAAAATCCAACTATTAATTTAGTAATTACATTAATTACTTAATTAATATCCAAAATCTAATTAATCAATCCAATTGATTAATTTATAATATTCCTTTAATTGACATCTAATTCATAATTAGATAATTAATTAAATAATCATATTATTTAATTAATCATTATCAATTAATTCTAACTCTTTAGAAATATCACTTTAAATTATTTTCATTCAAAAATTGGTGTGACCTTTTAGGTTCACTATTAATACTAGTAGTGGGTTTACAACTTGTAATTTGAATTAATCATATTAATTCTTATTCTTGAAATTAACCCTTTAATTTCAAGAACCCACAGATCATGGGAACACCTAGCAAGTAGCATAATCACCTAGTATTAAGTGAATAGCGAGTAAACCTTTTCAATTACAATTACATACATGTAAAATCATTTCGACAACTAATTTCCCGATTAAATCATGGGTATGGTTTTTAGTCGAAACCCATATTTTTAATAACTATGATTCCATTTCAAGTTTCGTGATTCCCTTATGAATCTCCATTCATTATGTCTTGGCCAAGGACTTCGAATCACAAAGTATGAAAAAACATAGAAAATTCACTTATCTCATAAGTGTTGTCAAATCCTCTGTTGGCTACTAACAAATCTCCATACATATTAATACAATATCCAAAATATCCCTTTATTGATTGTCTTTGCAATCAAAGGATAAATCAAAGTAAAGTACAATATGCACAAGATTACCATTGTGCCTCAAGTCTAAGAATCAATCACGTACTATTGTAACATGAAAATTCTTATTTGACAAGAAACACTTCCATTTAAGAATTTTCATACGGTCATGTTCAATGAACTTGTTCCCTAACAAGCATCCCACATATATATACTTGCATCACATGCTAATGTTGATGGAATGCAACATTCTTATCTGATTAGCATATATCATATGTGCAAGTCTTACCGGGTTATTCAATATCCTATCTCAAAATACCCAACGACTTGGAACTTTATTTAAGATCAAGCTTTAAAAACATGTTCCATGATTATCATCTCTATGCGTAACCATGTCTTTGTAGCTTATTATGATCTATGGACTTTATCATATATATAAATATAATATAAAATGCTTATACATAAAATAAATTAATGCCTCGTACAATATATAAATACCATTAGATTATATAATCAAGTAGAATAGATCCAATTTGATTGGAACGCAGGGTATTCTACTCTAACAGTCCCCGCGCGGGTGGTCCTTAAG